CGAGGAATTGATCGTCGTATCCGTCTCACGTGAGGTCCCGGCAGAGTATTTACGTCACGTTATCGGGCCTCACAATATAAATTCTGCATATTTGGTTTAAATTTTAAATTATTAAATATTTCCTCCAATCAAAGAACACAAGCTACTTTCATTTTAAAATGTGTGTGCGAGTTTCCAAAAAAAATTCAACAATAAGGCCATATAAAATTAATTTCAAGATTTAAAATTTTATATACAATCAGAGATAACGAATTTTGCATAGCGAACATTTGAAATAATGAAATTTTTTTGCATCATAATTGTGTCTGAACATATAAATTTGCCTTCTGATAATCGAATGTTTCTATATAGTGAAGGCATTAGGTCAGAATGTGGACTTCGCTATATCAGGCTTTAACCATAAATATAAAATTTGAAAAAATTAGACTGGTTGTTCTGGAAATTTAATGAAAACCAAGAAACTAACTTTGTATGAACTAGTTGCTAACACAAAATCCTGATCCATTACTTACTATGTTCTACCGACATTCAAAAGTTTCCACTTTCTTTCACATCCAGTTTTCTTTTAATAGTACTTGAATACAACCGAAAGGCTATCACTTGTTTATTGACATTTTTATGTAAGCCACATGCTGTGCTTAATAGCCACGTGCAAAATATTTTGATTTACTAACATGGTTCAGTTTTTTCAAAAGTCTTAGAGGATTTGATATTCGCCAAGTTTTGACTTTCCCTAGGGGTTTGAACTTTATCAGAGGTTTCGACAGAGTTTCGCCATTTCACCAGAGTTTCGCCAGTTTCGCCTTTCGCCGGGTTTAGTTTCGTCTTTCACCATTTGCCAAAAATAGTTTCGCCTGCCAACACTAGGTCTAAGCTCTTTAGTAGTAAAGAATTTTGGTTTAATGTTTAAATTTGGTCTATTTTTGTAATGTGTTTGGACTTGTTAATTGTAAATTAAAGGTTTGGTTTTTGTATTGTATATTCTTTAATAAGTTCTGGTTTGTTAATAGTCAATATCACATTTATCCCGGTTCACGCGTATCTATCTGTTCTTTCAATATATGTAAGAAATTCTTTTGCATGTATTTATTAGTTTGTAAGCTTTTTTTTTCGTTTTCTAGTAGTATTATAATGACAAATTCTTTTAATTTTTACAAAAATTAGTCAATCATACGAATGTCTTCCTATGAGAGCTGCGTATATAATGTTTTAGAACATTGTGTAAAAAACTTTTAATATGTAATGATGAAGTTAGTTATAAGAAATAGAAACGGTTAAAATTTTTAAAGATTACAACAAATTTTATATGGTTTAATGGATTTTTTTATGTGTTATTATAATACAGTAGACTATAGATTTTAAATCCTATATTACTTCGGTATAATAAATAAAATAGGCTTTTAGGAAAATATACATACATTTGATCATTTCGTTCTTTTATTATAATGATAGTGCCATAGGTTAATAGGGCGAGTTCAAAGATAAAGCAAATGCGACGAATTGTCGCTTGAGAACGATTATGTTCCTCAAAAGATGGTAGAGGCGGGTGTTTGGCGCAAGGTTAAGGCAGTAATTAAGTAGCGTTACAGGGAAATAAATATCTTAAAGAACGTTTAGAGAGTGATTGGTCTTTTACTTTTGAGAGGCGATTTTAGAGAATTTCATTATTTATTAATTTGTTTTAGAGCGGGATGGGCACACCCTTTTGCTCAAGCGAAAATGTATCCTTTTTATAAGGATTTTGCGGAGAAGCAGAAAGAACATTTTCGAAAATTTAACGATTACGCTAACACATTATTCCCATTATCCCAAGCCCTTTTTCCTCTTTTAACTATTTTACTTTCACAACTCTAGTTCCCAACATCGTTTGGCGTCTAAAACGCTTCCAACGTCGTTCCCCAGCTGTGAAAAATCATGCGAACGCATGATTAAGCTTGAACACGGCCACAAGCTTTTCCCGACTTGGCAATATTAACCTATTGACCTATTTTCGCCTTTATCTTTGTCAATCGGGTTAATGCAGATCGCCTTGCCATTTTGGGCCTGTCAACAGTAATTGTGTTCTGGGCTCACTTTTTATCTAATTCGGATATTTCTTGTAGACCGATTCTGCCGTTATCAATAGAGTTAATAATTTATTGGCTGATTATCACATATTTGCGCATATGACCAATCATAAAGTAATATTCATCTACCAATCACGAGAAAATAAACTTATAGGTACGACAAATATATTTTGCTCCACTCTCTCTTTAAGTTTGGTTCGAGGGGATGCACTTAAGGAGGTTTTATTGTATCACGGTTAGTGATGTTACCCAAACTATCTGGGACGTCCCAAATTATGTGATGAATAATATTGCGTGATATTTACCTCCATATTGTTATTGCTGAAATCGTGTGATGCTATTCATCACATAATTTGGGACGTCCCAAATAGTTCGCTAATAACGGTGGGAAAGCCCGCTATGCTATTGTGCAAATAACTATAAATGCTTAGCTATTGAATCTATTATTCTATTTAGCTATTTTAGCACAATGCTACTATATAATTATCTTGTATTTATTTTCATTTTCCTCATAAATTTTAGGTTTACCTTTTCTGGTTTTATTCCTTATAGAAAATATTCTCATTCCTCAATTCTTATTAATAAGAAACTCTATTTTATTGGAGGATATTCTCGTCCTGGTCAAAATTACACGACGAATGAATTCTTTTATTTAGATGTTTCTAAACCATTTACAATAAAAGACAGTGCCTCAATACCATGGAATGATCTTACTTATACCGGCGGCCCTCAAAAAGCTTCTGCTACAGCATGTACTGATGGAAAAAATGATGATTTGATTTTTATTTTTGGTGGTTATCCTTATGAACCATCATTCGTTAATCAATTTGATATAAATAAACAACAGTGGTTTAATATCACAACAATTGGAAACTCACCCACGTATAGATCTAGTATTTCATGTGTTGAATTTAATAATGGATTGATTGCTATTTTTAGTGGTTATAATGCGGTTAAGATTCCAAATGATTTTTGGGTATTCAACACATTTACTTTAACATGGAGTTTAAGTAATGCAACAAATGCACCTTCATCTCGTTATAGTTATCGTGCAATAATTTTGCCTGATAAAAATATTTTATATATTAGTGGAAAGTATAGTGCCAACGCATATGTGCCAATGGATAATGTAAGTATTGTCTTTTAATAAATTAATTATTCTGCCTTTTAATCGCTGTATTAATGCTTTATAGCTACCGTTATATAATACAAAATCTGATACGTGGACAAATATGGTACGTAACTAATAATTATTATTTTCGTTATGTCTTAACACTGATAATCTAAACTAATATCTCATTAGAGTCTATCCGGACCGACACCTCCTGCCCGTGAGTATCCCTCGGCGGTATTAAGTATGTCATTTAATAATATCATTAAATGTTTTTAATTTAAGTATAAAGCTTTCTTTTATTAATCGTTTAAATTGAAAGCTCCCGACAAACGTATAATAATTTTCGGTGGTTATAATAACGGAACAACTTTGAGTGATCTGTGGATTTTAGATGTTACAAGTTATCAATGGTCAATTGGAAACATTTTAAATCCAATTGTGGATTTAGCTCTTTATAGACATACAGCGACATTAGTGGATAATTATATGATTATTGCATTCGGTAAATTTTTAATAATTTTATAATGTTTACTTATAAATTTTTATTTAAACAATAAAATTTATTTGTTTAACAGGTTTATTCTCAAGTGATAATATTTCATCGAATGTATTTATGCTAGATGTAAGCCAGAAAGATTCCTATAGATGGGTTACTGAATTTGCTCCAAATGCCACAACTACTACCGCTACAATTTCAAATAATCCAATTTCAAGTAATACAGAAAGTCCAGGCCCTAAAAACACTAATTTAATTATTGGAACCATCATTGGCAGTATCATTTCTTTGGTGATATTCGTTATTGCCATTATTTTTACTCTAAAATTTATTGATCAACGTAAAAAAAAACGAGACATATTTAGTGATTTAGTGTTCTAATGTTCTAGTATATTTTCGAATATGTAGTGTTTAGTGTATTTAGAATATGGAAATAATTCGACTTGTGTTTGTGTTCTAGTTTTTAATGTATTTAATGTTTCAGTGTTTTCTAGTGTATTTTTCTGATCATGTGGTGACTTCGCCGCATGAACTAATAATGCACCCTTTACTTACTAGTGAATTAATTTGACAGGGTAACATATGATAGTAAAAAAATAGCTTATTCTGAATAACTTGTTTATTGAATTTTCTTTTGGCAGTAAATATTGTAATGATTTGATTAATAAAACTGTACATAATTATGATCAATAATTTACGTTGAAATTTATCTCTTTAAACTTTGCAATATTTCTAAAACAGGGCACAACCTTGTTCGTCACGTCGCCTCGGAAAATGTGTACCAGGTGGATTTGCTCCTGAACTACGAATAAGTTTCAAGATTTACGTTCGCTCTGCCAAAAATCGGTCATAATCAAAAATCAGCCATCTTTCGTGCTCTAATAAAAAGGTTTCGTTGGACAATTTTACTACTACGATTGTAACTACTCGCCTCTAACACCTAACCTTAACGAATTTTAAAGAATTTTGTCTGCACCACAAATCGAGTACACTTTTCTGAGTGCGTAAGTTTTATCTTATCAAATTTAGTTTTTAAGCTATTACAGTATTAATTCTAAAATTAAAAAAATATATATATTAGGCCATGCAAAATTAATTAGTCGGTTTTCATAACTCGGCCGGGTCAAATTTTGAAAAATTTATTTATATGTTTTAATGACCGGTGTAATCGTAAAACGGCGAGTCAGTCGCTAATCGGTCGGGTTCCTCGTGTAACCACTTATGAAGGTTAAGTCCGGTCGAAAGAGGTGCGTTAGATTTGGCGAGTGGTTAACAAGATTTTGGATGGGGTTTACTTAATCGTAGGGGGTTCAGAGTTGGTTATTCAAGATAGGCGAACACACTTTTTGTACCTTACGGGTTAGGGATAGATTATATATTATAGCAATGGCAATTACTGTTTAATAAAGATACTCGGTTTACAAGCAACGTTACTATGAGTGTTTAAGCAATGTATTATGTATTATGTATTCGCTAAGGGGAAGTTATTATTCCCGAAGGGCCTTTCGGCCTTTATTTATAATTATCTATTTCTATTTACATTCTGCGATGCATGCGACTGATGCTTCCTAAAAGCCCATTCTGACCGATCGCTGCTATCCGTCATATCCGTCATATGCGACCGATGCGACTGATGCGACCTATCGGTCGCATACGACGGATGCGACAAATGCGACAGATGCGATCGATCTTTTCCTATTTGGGATATGGCCCCAAGCGGTCAGGGTCCATCCGGGTCCCACAACGGCAAGAATCGTTTTTATACTCTTCCGTTAATATGAACTTATTCGATAAGCGACTAAGGATACTAATAGCGACAAGTGGCATAAGTTGAACTTATTCTATAAGCGACTACTAACGGCAAGAAGTGGCATAAGTTGCACTTAATTCACCATGCCAATTAATTTTGTCTAGATTCGATTTGAGCCGCCCAGCATCGATGTACCCTTTCACAACGTGCGTGCAAAAAATTTACGATTAATGAATATGTCACAAGATCTGGTATTAGTACCAACAACGTTATTCCTCATAATTATGAGTAGTCCTTGATGAAGCGAAGCACAGTCTCCAAATTGAATCTTCTCTATCTCTTAAAATTCATAATTTATGTTATTTGCAATAAGTTACTGTAAATCATTTTTCCCCGCAATTTGTAATTTTGAACATATATGATGTATGGATCTGTAATCAGATTTTCGGCGATTTGAAGTGTTAAAATTCGATTATACATTCAAATTAAATGATGTAATAATGCTGGCCAAACTTTTGTAAAGCCGATACTTTACATATAACAAATAAAAGTACGTGAAATTGATTTACCGAAATTTATATAAAAATACATGTATTGTAAGATGGTAACTTTCACAAAACAAGGCTCGGAAAAGATGGCCAAAGTATTAAAAGATTAGAAGAATAATAATTAATGAAGAATTAGAGAAAAAGATATTTAAAAAAAGAAGATGCCGAAGAAGAATGAGAAGAATCAAACATCTCAGAACAAAGTTTAATCGTTTATTTGGCACTTTTTAGGTAATATGTTCAAGTTAGAATTTTAGAATTATGACACTACTGCACTTAATATCAAAAATAACTAGAATTTTATATTTAATAGATTTTTTATTTTTAAAATTTATTTTACCTGAAATATTTTATTCGATTTTTTTTACACTTATTTTTATTTTTAATTTTATAATTAAAATATTTTATTACTTTAATTTTTTGGTTTTGTTTACTTATAATTTTTTTTTTATTTAGTAAGAATTGTTGAAATTATCTAAAAATTAATCGTTTAGCTATGTCTAACTATTAATCCAATTAGTTTTAGTACTACCCTTCAAAAGTTGTGAGCTACTACTATTCTTCCTGCTTAAGTCTTTCAGCGTGTTCAATACCCAATAATACTTTTTTTCTATGCATTGTAAGGCCCAATAACGTGATGAAATTAAGATGCCGGGGCCTCACGTGAGAACGGGTACGACGATCAATTCCTCGATATAGATATCCCGGCATTAATGCGATTAATTAAATAAATCAAGGAAGTGAGATTTAATAGATAAAGGGGATTTATTAGCGAAGGGGAATTTATTAAGTAAAAGGGGTTATGTGGATAAATTAGAGGAGTTGAATTAAATAGAGGAATGAGTTTAATGTAATTAAATAAGTCATAGTTAGAAAGATAATATAAATAAAGGCCGAAATGGCCCTTAGTAGCAGTACGCTTTGTTGGCTTTATTAAAATACAAGTCCCAATACATTATAACATCTATAATAAAATACTAACACTAAACCCAGTACAACCCTGTAAAATCCATAAACTTCGTTATTCGTTCAAGTTCTTGTTCGCGTGACTTACCTACTTGTATTCGTTGACCCAAAGTAACCGAAAGCCTTAATCACCCACCAGTCAAATCTAACACCCTCTTTCGAAAAGGTTACTTATCGTACGTTACACGAGATTCTGTATTGTGAAGCGACAGAGTCGCAGTTATCCGAACCGAACAGCATATATTGATTAAATGAAACTTTTGAAAATCTATGGTGTATTACTTTTTGATTGGACGTGGCAAAGCCACTGTTATAACTTATTTATAATAACTTAAAATTTGTAATAAAAGAGTACAGCTCTGTTGCGGACTTCCAAACCCAGTCTGCTTGCAGTATTTGGATTTAATTTCTGGATCCACGAGGGTTGGTGCCCTCTCCTATTACTCGGCTTCTTGAAAGTATAAGGTGTCTGTCACCGCTTATTTCATAAGTTGAATCTTCGTTAATTTCATCAAACGCCCATTATTTCTTCGGCTACTCGATCATAAGTTTATATACCACCAAATACTGGGTTCTGAATTTTGATTGATTATGTAAACTGATCTAATCTAAATGATTACATGTAGGAAATATGTTACATGAGTATTAGATCATACGAGTACTGCCAAGAAAAAATAAAATTGGATTCTGCTCTTGAAAACTTTCAATAATTATACATACTGTGAGCCGCAGGCACAGAACGGGTATGTTGATCTTTTACCTAAGATGGGTTTCCCAGTATTATACGCTGTGAAAGTCCTAAACATCATATCGGGTCTTTAAGGGATATCAGTAAAATAAGGGAAATTAGTAGGAGCAAGGGAATAATTAGTATATTTAGTATAGTGTTGGGTTCAGAAGATTGCGACTCTGTCGCTTCTCAATTCAAAATGTCGCGTAACGTACGATAAGTAACCTTTTCGAAAGAGGGTGTTAGATTTGGCTGGTGGGTGATTAAGGCTTTCGGTCACTTTGGGTCAACGAATACAAGTAGGGTAAGTCATGTGAACAAGAACTTGAACGAATAACGAAGTTTATGGATTTTACAGGATGTGTACTGGGTTTAGTGTTAGTATTTTATTATAGACGTTATAATGTATTGGGACTTGTATTTTAATAAAGCCAACGAAGCGTACTACTCCTAAGGGCCATTTCGGCCTTTATTTATAATACTGAATTCGTTGCTCACAAATGCAACTTATCTATTAAAACTAATTAAAGCTATTTACACGTTTTATTTAATCTCTTTCATTTCCTTCCTTTATTCCCTATCTACCCCTTTGGATCCAAAATACCATTCCAATCTTAAATGTAACTTATTGCACTTCTTGCATTTCATGCATTTTTCACGTGATCGGTCACGATATTCCGGTATCACAATAGACATTATAAATTAGTATATGCACGAATAAGATGTATAATGTGCCCTAAGTAATGAAAGTATATAATAAAGGAGTTTCGCCCTAGAGAAAAGTAAATGGTTGTGACTAAAACAAATTCACTACGTTATAAATAGATACTTACATCCCTATCTACTGCTTGAGTGGCATAAGTGGTACGATCTTCGCTCTTGTAATCTTGCTCACGTGACGAACGTAAAGTGTACAACTACCCATTGTCAGAGGTAAAACCGACACCCCATAGAACCTGCGAAATGGACGTCATTGTGACATACTTACCTAATTTGAGGTGCTCATGACGATCCATCTGAAACATGTGCGCCCAGTCCCAAGGAAAGCCATATGACAGTACACAAGCCGCCATGCGGGACCCCACCACCCCCTCCAAATAAAGAAAGGTCGACCTGGACCAACCTATTGCGCTGGGAAATGGACGTTGACTCCACCTACCCTACTTGGGTTAGGTGTGAGGCGATGTCAAGAGGGGTGCGATTGAAGGCAATATGATGGGTTCTGGCCCCGGGATAGTGAAACTGAAACATTTCTTATCGGTTCTATGAAGGCCATGAGAAATGTAAAGTAACGAAAGGCTGTGTGAAAGTGTTAAATGTTAGAACAAATAAGGTTGGGGAACGATGGGAACAATGAGAAGAGTCTTGATCTTGTGCGTGCTCTTCT